AAATAATTATTCTGTACCTTATGCGCTCTATATTAAAACTCACAGAGAAGGACCTGCATGGAATCTATTACCTTCTCTTTTAGTTACCACCTAACACTTTCAAATTATGGCATTCTTGATTTCAGGATCCCACCATTCGTCCTTTGGTTGAGCTAGATTCAAAAACTCTGCAACAGTTGCTTCCAGAGATACCATTTTGGGTTAAAAACCCAGACTATGACCGTGTAAGTTATTCTTTAAAATCGTATGTCTTTTTTGTACAACCTCCCGATAAATGTCGGTCACATGAATTAAACCCTTGAAAGACGTATTGGTCTATCTGAGGTCAGTGGAGCCTTAACCACTGGACCAATTCCTCGTTGATAAATTGTATGCCCTTTGTAGAAGTAAACAAAAGTAAATATCTTTGGAACTAGAAGCACATTGTGAGTTCAACAGAAAATTTATCATATTTTCTTCTTTGCAGCTTGACTGGCTTAATAAATTTATTGAGTGTATGTGGCCTTATTTGGACAAGGTATGCACACTTTTTATTGATGTTTGAATCTGATCCAATGCATCTATATGTATTTCATGCAAACTGTTTTGGATAGTAATTCTCAGAGTGCCAACAATTCAATCTCGTAGGCAATTTGCAAGACTGCAAGGACTATAGCAAAGCCTATTATTGCTGAGCAAATTCCGAAGTACAAAATTGATTCTGTCGAATTCGAAACACTTTCGCTGGGTTCTCTACCACCAACTTTTCAAGGTTGAGCTTTCTCTCTTTTACATACACATGAACAGAGACATGCATCACATGTATATTTTGTTATCATGACCTCATTTGTTAAACAAATGTATCTTTTATTGTTGTGCAATTGTCCATGCACTATTTGTGATTAGTTTTCCTCCACAAATTAAATGTGAAAGGAGAATCACAGGAATGTAAAGTTTTGTAGTTTCTAATATTATAGAGCAGGTTCTTGTGATTCATGTGTGATGCTTCTTGTGAAATTCCATATGAAACTGACCTTTCAATAATTAAAATGATTGCAGAATCATCGGAATTATAATTTCTGAAATATTTCTTTCACTACAAAATGAAATCACTGTGTTCTTGTCTTTGATGGTTCCAGAGGTTTTTATATCTGACCCGTCACTGAATCATAGCTCTCTAAGAACTAAATAAGTATAGAATGATGAATGCTTATCTTCATCTGAATGTATGCCAGGAATGAAAGTTTATAGTACTGATGAAAAGGAATTGATTATGGAACCATCATTGAAGTGGGCTGGGAATCCTAACATTATAATTGCAATTAAAGCATTTGGATTGCGAGCCACGGTCCAGGTATTTTGTTACCATATGTAAATGGTTTCAAGTGACATGTGCATACTTTGTTCTAACCCAGTGAAGTTTATTAATGCTTTTAAATAATTGCAGGTTGTTGATCTGCAAGTATTCGCTGTTCCACGTATCACTCTGAAGCCTTTAGTTCCAAGTTTTCCGTGTTTCGCAAATATTTCTGTGTCTCTTATGGAGAAGGTGTGCATGATATTTTAAACCCTTGAGGACTAATTTCATATTAGTTCGTAGAAATTGTGTCAAAGTATGTCTGTTTAGCATGCAAGCACATCTATGTTCTTATCTTTTCCTCCTTCTTTGTTGTCATTATGATTACTTTATTGCAGCCTCATGTCGATTTTGGACTAAAACTGCTTGGAGCTGATGCAATGTCTATTCCTGGTCTTTATAGGATTGTCCAGGTATCAATGTATCATACATCTTTCCTAATTGTTTATGGCTAGCAACTACTATGCTTGTAAAGTTTTATTATTGATTTTTCTTCCTCATCCCCTTTCGTATTTAGGAACTTATAAAAGATCAGGTTGCAAAAATGTATTTGTGGCCTAAGGCCCTAGAGGTGCAAATAATGGATCCATCAAAGTATGTATTATTTCATCCTTTCATCAGTTTATAACATTGAGATAAAGTGGCTAATTTTGCTTGGTTTGTCAGGGCCATGAAAGTGCCTGTTGGAATCCTCCATGTGAAGGTTCTGAAGGCAGTGAAGCTTAGAAAGAAAGATCTAATGGGGGGAGCAGACCCGTATGTGAAACTTAAACTCACGGATGATAAACTTCCTTCAAAGAAAACAACTGTGAAATACAACAACTTGAATCCGGAATGGAATGAGGAATTTAAAGTAGTCATCAAAGATCCAGAATCTCAAGCCTTAGAGCTTAATGTCTATGACTGGGAGCAGGTACTAAGCATCTTCAAATGAAATTTTGGATTAGAATTTGATGTGAGAATTCATTTAGGACACTTTTAGAAACTGTTTGGACTAAAAAAAATACTATGAAGTCATTATTTTCATTGCATAATGGTTTCCTTTTACATTTTTTCAAGCATGTTTTTCTTTCTTTTGCATAGTTTGGCAAGCATGACAAGATGGGTATGAATATCATTCAAGTGAAAGAACTTACGCCTGATGAACCGAAAGTGCTGACTCTTAATTTACTCAAGACTATGGTCCCTAATGATCCTGAGAATGTGAAGACAAGGGGGCAGCTCAGTGTGGAAGTTCTGTACAACCCTTTTAAGGCTAATGAGTTACCTGAGAATGCAGAAGACGGCAATGCAATCGAAAAGGCTCCTGATGGAACACCTTCTGGTGGTGGTTTGCTTGTAGTTATCATCCATGAAGCTGAAGATGTAGAAGGAAAACACCACACAAATCCGTATGCACGACTGACTTTTAAAGGAGAGGAGCGAAAAACAAAGGTATTAGTATTACTACCATAGACTAATACATTTTTTGGCTTTGATTAATTTCTATTAGGATTGACATTTCTTTTTCCGTTTTCGTCAATAAGTGTATGCTATTAGGAGAAGATGTCTCCCTTAGTTTGAAACTATAGTTATTTAGCCTTATTGAGTATTAGACTTATTGACATTCAAGAAAATGTGACTAAGAATTTTATCATTAGAAAGATTTTCCTCTAAATTAATGTCTTACTAACAGTTTGGTTTTCCATATAGACATTTTCTAATGAGATAAGAGGCCTTGTTATTAAAAACCATAAAACTTCAACTAATGATAAATTACTAGTAAAATACTATGAACCAACCTCCTCATAATATTTGGTGCTGTCAAGGGCTAACTCTCCTAAAAGTTTAATACTTTAATCTATAGGCCAAGGCGTAACGAATGCTTAGAATGTAAAATGGCTTGATCTTTTTGTGAAATTTGACTAATGCAGCATGTAAAGAAAAATAGAGATCCAAGATGGGGTGAAGAGTTTCAGTTTACACTGGAGGAACCCCCAACAAATGAAAAGCTATTAGTTGAAGTGCAAAGTGCTTCCTCAAAGATGGGATTGTTGCATCCTAAGGTAATGCACTATCATCTCAATCTGTTATATATTATACTCAAACCATGAATGCTTATTAGTATTACTATCATTTACTTCAATGAGTATGATAACTTATGGTTTTCAATCTTATTTTCTTGCAATCAGGAAACTCTTGGTTATGTGCATATAAATCTATCTGATGTTGTTAGCAACAAAAGAATCAACGAGAAATACAATCTTATCGACTCGAAAAACGGACGGATTCAAATAGAGCTTCATTGGAGAACTAGATGATGGCAGGTAAAAATTTGTCACAAAAATAAATTTGCAGTGTGCATAATTTTGTAAAGCATTCCTTCTGATAAGGAGGTAGCTATATTCTGTCACAAAGAAAATTTATGTTATGTATTGGATGAACATTAATAAGTATCTTATGAGATATTACTCTATTCTCCAATGTTTCCAAGCATTGCCAAAAGAAATTTGAATTGTTAGGTTCCAAAATATGATTTTTATTGGTGGGTAGGTTTGTAACATGTTGATTAGGATATGCAAAAGTTGGATTTTTTTTGGGAACTTTTTTATAGCTTAACCCTACAATTCTACAAGCCCACATCAAAAGAAGGAAACTATGACCCACAAACACAAGGTCAGAAACATGTGAGCCTTAAGTTTTGCCTTATATAATATATAGTAATCTGAGTTAGTCTTCTTTACCTATTTAAATTTAGGCATGACCTATATTTAAAAGCTTGTTTTGGCATATAAATCTATATAAAAGCATATTCTTCTATACGATCTTCAAGTATATGCCAATTGGTTTTAAATAGACATATTTAACGTTAATTATTAAATTATGCTTTTATTTAAATTTCACATAAAAAATTTATATTAGAACTCGAACACATAATAAAAGGAATGCTTGCATCAAATAAGAACAATTATAAATGACCACTATAAATTATTATTGTTTCACACAGTTTAAACATAAAAAATTTCCATTTAAAGGAAGAAAGAAAACCATTAGTAAGCACTTTAACATAAATGACAATATTCAAAAAGTTTGTTTGCTTCAGATTATATTAACTAAATAACAATTGAGTAACATTATAATAATTTAATAACACTCTTCGTTTATGGAACAACAACAGATGACCCAATTGTGTTGTTCACATGCCCTTGAGATTTCCGTATTTATCGTATAAATATATTATTCATTTAATAATTATTTTTTATATTGATTATTACAAATATATAAATATGAGGAGAGATCCACTTATTCTCCCCTATAAATATATAATAAAAATTAAAAACTTATTGGGTATTCACTATTCACACATATACTTGGAAATATTTGTTATTCACACAGGTACCTACAAACAGTACAGATTTGGGAACGGAAAAACCATGATAACCAAAGTGATTGAGCTGACTAACCCATTAAGCCATAAGTAGGAAAGTCTTTTGGGAGTGTGATCAATAGTTCTAGCACTTGATTTTTCATGAGATTGTCAATTTCAAAGAATGTGACTAACCTTATAAATATTTGGTGCAATTCCCCCTAGCAATTATTAAATATTATCCAAATTCAAACCTCATATATCTAATAAGAGTGATCAATGTAATTCTTAAAATTAGAGAGATATGCATGTCATTGTGAAAACCCTTAGCAATATTGAATGTAAATTCTCTAATATTTATTCACTAAATTAATATTATATTTCTGAGAAGGTAAACACAAAATTATTATGTTATTTATTATTTAGAAGTTATATTTTTAAGTTATGACCAATTCTAAAAGTTAGCAACTCTTTTACCCAAAGTTACCACCAATTAGCCCATTATTATTAACACTTACAAAACCATCACCACCTTGTATTACCGCTTTCATTGACATCACAAAGACTCCTTATTTACCAACACCACAACTGCCTAGAAAAGTTACAACAAAAATAAAATATGACCAACATTTTGACTCCTTGTCATCAATAACATCCATTTTGCTACCAACAACCTCAATCATTATCAGCTTTCATAATCATCCCCACCACTCACCACAACCCATAAACATATCATAAATTTATCTCATCTCGCCACAAAAATCATAATATATATCATATTTATTATTTTTATAAAAATATATCTAAAAACCGAAGAAAAATAGTAGAAATGTCACGATCTTAAATTTTAATTGTTGAATAAAATAGTTTATTTTCTGGTATAAAGATAATTTATTATCTAAGTAACATGTTTTTCGGTTATCAACAAATTATGAAAGTTACCAACATTATCCCTTGAATTTACCAACAATGTTGAATGTTGTCAAGACTATTACACATAAATAGAGATTTTTTATCCTCAATTTGTATCTCATTCCATATCTAACTCACTTAAATATAGACATGTGGATATTAATCTATTACTTTGTAAAATAAAATTAAAATGAGATATTATTTTTTATTTGATAGCAAGGAAGATTAAGGCACCGACGATCTCATATCTATTACACACACCTTCACCCGCCACCGTCATTACTATTATCATCAACAATCCAGATTTTAAACGTCGCCAACCACCACCGCAATACACCACCATCATTCAAAGAGAGAGAGAGAAACCATCACCGTTATTCACCAATTTCGTCCATCAACAACTCGCCTCCCACTATCGCTGTCATTTGCTCCCTTGGAAGAGGGAGACAGATGACGTGAGAGGAAGAATGAAAATTTTGAAGAAAAAAAAGTTAGAGAGGGAAGATGTTTAAAAAAATAGGGAGGCTAAAGTGGAGTAAGGAAAATTACTACAAAAAAACAAATGACATGATAAGACATTTTTAATATTTTATATAATAAAATAATATTTTTAATCATGATAAGACATTTTTAATATTTTATATAATAAAATAATATTTTTGTTATTAAAAATATAAGTAAAAGCAAATTATAAAGTGTGGATGTCAATGAGGAGTGTCATGAAAACATTACTGTTATACTTTATAGGGCTTTAGTTGTCTAAGTTTACATTTTTGTAACTTTCGGCAACTTCCTATCTTATGAGCAATTAATTTCCCAGAAAAATTAAATTGTACGAGCAATTTCCTACAAAAATTAAAAATTAAATCTTGTGTTAGTTGTTGGAAAAGATTTAAAAAAATTATGGTATGAAAAAATTAGTAGTTGAGTGGCACACTAGGTTATTATCTTTAAGACATTTTATTGTACTACCAAAAATTGTATAAATATCAATCACATCCCTCTAAGATGAAATAACTCAACTCATTGTACTGCACTATTTAGCTAAATATAGCTAATGCCACCTTAAAGTGTCACCCAGAGAAAAGGAAGATAGAAATACTTCTACTAGGAATTGGATGGGGAAAGAAGTTGAGGAATTGTTTCTCAAACTTGTATGTATTTTTTGAAGTTAGGGATCCTCTATTTATAGGATGAAGTCCCAAATGGCCAGAAAAATCAATGTTCCAAAAAGCGAGTTTATGGAAATGATTAACAACCATATTAACATAAAGCAGATAGCTTATTTTAACCAAACAAAAACTTATAAGTTATCAGTTATGCTTATCTATTTGTGAATAGTGACCAAATAAGTGTTTATCCATTTCTAGAAGCATATATTTATTTTTCATAAAATAATCATTGAATATTTTTTGTAAAAATAAATATATGACATTACCCAAGTTTAATGGTAACAATTCAATGAAATATATTATTATATAAAATATTATAGGTATATTTAAGTTTAAAGGTGATACCCAATAAATCTAATGATTCTAGGAGTAAGTTTGAGATGCTGTATCTAACAAGCAAATAAGTGATACATCACCTTCTAACAACTAAGAGGTACATTGCCCTGAACAAATAAATGATAGGGACATCTCACCCTGAATAAGAATAGGATAACTCACCTCAAGCACTCACACTAATAGAAACAGAGAAATTGAAATTCTAATGAATAGCATAATAATATAAAGAACAATAAATTACAAAAACTTTTGTGATGGAGAAAAGAAGGTGATGAAGAAGCTGACAGAGATTTTCTGAAAAGCTGTTCAGGTTGGAATTGTGATGACAAGAAATAAAAGATGCAATACATGCATATGATTTTTGGTTGATATATATCCTCAGCAGTTAGTTCTTCACCAGCTGACATAAACAGACAGTCATACCCAACTGGACTCGCCACTCATCCAATCTTCGTATCTGACTTTGACTATACTATGGAACTTGATTTTCAACTCATCCTTGGTTTTTAGTATTTGTTAAGAGAATAAATAGAATATTATTGCTTTTTATAAGATGTTTTTATGTGATTTAAGACTGATTAATATTGTGATTTGTGATTATTATCAAATTTGTATTTATTTTTTAAAGTTGTGTTTCATCCATAAGATTTTTTCATTCTATGATAAGTAAAATCTTAAAAGCGATTCTATAAAAATGGTCAAAAACTAAAACCTCAAAATAGTCTCATAATACAGGTCAATATATAAGTATATATTATATAATATTATTTAATTAATAATCATTTTGTGTTACCTTTTCTATCATGCATCAAACACTGTAGTTATTATATTATAAATAGTCAATACCTTTTTCTAATAGCAATTCTTCAAATAATTTCTCTAAAGTACATTAAAATTACATCAAGAATTAGAATTATTGTTTTTCGTAGTACGTACTTTTTCACCCTATGAGTAAAATAAATGAATTAATACATAACTACCCATTCCAACCAACACGGTAGTTATTATATTATAAATAAAAATAATGAATTCAATAGCTTTTGTTTAATAGTAGTTCTTTCAAAATGATTTCTCTAAAGTAAATTAAAATTACAGGAAGAGTTAGAATTATTGTTTTTCATAGTACGAAAATATTCACTCACCCCTATACACAAAAGGAAGGAATTAATCTCTTCTATAATATATGATTTTCTTTCTCAACCAATATTGCTCTCAAGAATTAAATCTTTGACCTTTGATCATCCTAATATGATTTAACACTATTAGACCAATATCTTTCTTTTTTAAAGAAGAATTAGAAATTTTTGAGAGAAAGGAAAAAAATGAGCGCATAACCTGCAACTTTTATTCGTTGTTCAAGATACACCTAACAAATTGGTAAAATCAAAAGGCACCATGAACCTCGTGTAAGGTGATAAGTTCCGTTGAATAGCGACAGCCCAAAGGTATATGACGTGAAAGTAATGGTTAGCATTCCCATATTGATTAGCATTTACATTTTATATTTGATTTCATTTAATTTTATTTATTTTTCATACACGTGTACTTTCAATTGACTTTATTATTTATATGCTGATAATTTTTTATATTATTACACTATCATTTTTCCATCAATCATGTCTTAAATAGTATGATCAATTATCAATTATCAATTAAATAAAAATAATATAAATAAATGTTATTTAAAATAGAAAAATATACATGCATCAAAGATGTAAGAGCTTTAAATTTAAAACCAGTAAAAATAATACTTCTGAACTCATGAATTAGTACTTAAAGTTTATAGAGAGTAATGAAGATATTTTCATATATATCAGTCACTTTCATCGAACTATACCTACTGCTTCTATTATACCAACCTAAACCAGACCCTACTTCCCTCCATCAGAGTCATCATAACAAATATACTCTCATTCATCACAAACATAATCTACTATAATCAATTCATGAAAATTCCAAGATCAAACAGAAAGCCAATTCATCATTATTATTTATACTTCATTTCATATTAACATCTATTTTTTGGTACATATATAATTAAAAGGTATATGTATTTGTAATTTTGTATAATAACTAAATCACTCTCATAGACTCAACCAAAACAGCGAATTATATATATATATATGCGAAATGAGTAAAACGTTAAAGCAGCGTAAACCTAACATTAAAATCAATTAACCAAACCTTTTCAGTTATTACCTCGTCGCTTTATCTTTAACTTGATTATTACAAAGCATAAGGAAGATGTTGAGGGAGTCTGAAACGGAGTTGAGAAGCCGGTGACCGCACCGCAACACCGTGCCAGCAGATACCGCCCTTACAGGTCTCACGGTGGCGGCGGTGGAGTGGATGAGGATGTAGAAGATGATCGCCGGCGAATGCATACGTGGCTTTACGAGACACGTCCCACATAAGCGTTAATACGAGGATTAAAGCGACGAGAGTGGTGGAGAGGATAAGAACGAAGGTGCTGGTAAAGCTTCGACCACAGATAAGGCCAAAGACCTTAATAGACGCAATTACTGCCACGTAGATGAGTGTGAGGTTGCTCACAACTGAATCAGAAACCGCCATTGAAGAAGAAGAAGAGAGAAAGTGTGAAGGGAAGGGATCTGAATGTGGATTTGGGAAAGGGGATTTTGATGCTTTGTATTGGGAATGTTGTTCAGGGTTTTGGTATGATAGAAAGTTCCAATGATGGAAATTACCAAAAGGGTCTTCAATTTCTGAAATCCAACCAAATCAGATTTCTCATTTTGCTTATTTTCTTCCCAATTTTTTCTTCTAGAATAAGGGAAATTATTAATTACAAGGAAAAAACTATTTTTTAGTGATGAAATTACTTGTTAAATAAAATATGTGAAATTTAAGAAAATGTGAGTCTAATGGTGTAAGATTGTGTTAGATTCAGAATAATTAAAATGTTAAGAATTCGATTTTTAAGAACTATATTTACCGGGGAAGACAATTACACACCCCAAAATGAATGAATGTTCCTTACAAATAGGATGAGGGAATATAATTGTTAGTATAAAAAAACATCATATTTATTTATTATGTGTAGAATTGTTAGTAATTTTAGAAATAAATATTAATAATATTATAAAACTATTAATAAATATCATTATTTATTTTAATTGTCTATGTAATTTCATCAATTTAATAGTGATTATTTGTAATAATTATTAATGTATATATTCTATTTTTTATAATTAATTTATAAATGTTAATATGCATTTTAGTGTGATATGATTAATACATTATGATAAATTAAAAGGTAAAACTAATCAATGAGTTATTGAAAAACCACATGATGTTTGGAAAAGTATTTAAAATATTTTTCTTAAAGTTAGTTTTCAAATGCTCACTCAAGCTTCATTTTAAAAAGTTATAAGTCACATACAATTTTCCTCCACCCATCAACTCTAGTATCATACTGTCATGTTCAAAAGTTTCAAACTATTTGGAAAACTAAACCCTGATTTTTGTTGAGTGCAAATATTTTGTTGGGAAATGTCTGATTGGATAGGCAAAAACGATATATTAATTAATGGGTTTTGTGCTATAGCTATATTATGAACCAAAACATTAAAACGTTGGGTTTATTAGTTCTTCCCCTTATATGACCTTCATCATTTTTTTATATGTTAATTATTTATCATGCATGTCTTCCTTGAAATTAATAAAGAACTCCCTCAAAGTGAGTGTTTCACATACAGATAATCTTCCTAAATGCAAGCCTTTTGAGTATTTGACGATAGTAGGGATCGCTTGTCCCAAAATATTTATGTCACCATATTTTAAGCAAATTAATTTTCTTCAAGTAATATAAAAGTGTTATTTTGTATTTTTATAATTTATCTTTTTAATGAAGTGTCACATTTCATTGGATCGAGATAAGAATTTAGAATATGAATTAAGAGATATGATATCAATTTATGCTTTCATGACTCCACATCAGATTTGTCCATCATCCCTTAGGAAACACAAATCTTAACCTCCACATTGTTATACATACTTTCAATACGATGGACCTCATAATGGATTCATAAAAAAAATGTCCTACATAATACTTATCTTAAATGAATATCAATTTTGGTATCACTTTTTTGGATCTACTAGCCCAAAGAAGTAGAAGATTTTTATCCAATGAGCTAAGCAAAGAATCACACATATTTTTTTGAAAACAATGCATCTTGATCCAAAATTGTTGGATCACATTGCGACTGCTGAGAGTTTCATTGTTTCCAAGGTATGAGAAGAGTGGATAATCACAAGTGAGTCATGTCTTGAACCAAAACTTGAAGACATTAGTTTCATGGAATTTT